TAATTATTTACGATGATCTCCGTTGACCAAGTATCAATATACTGATTTATATGTCATAAATACATTTTCTGAAACAAAGCTTTACCTGCAAACACATACTGGTATAACATAAATACGTATTTTAATAGATATTTCCTTGTGAAAAGGCAATATTAACGGGAGTTCGTAATTAAGAATGTTGTGTCAGGGTCGAGGGAGATATCGAAAAACAACTGGAAAATCAGAGGACGCTTAGATTTCAGACGATCGTTTGATATTCATATAAAGGTTACTCCGAAAAATATTCCACTCGTCTTAGAGAAATTGTTTGCTATTAGATACTTTGAAGCTGCAGGGTAGTGAAGAAATGTTCTACCAACGCTTTCAATTACTTACCTTTTCAATTTTTGAAGATATTATACTACTGTATTATTAAATTTAAACACAAATAATTTAAGACTACTCCATTATTATGCATTAATTTTATTCTCTTGAACGCAAGAATGAACCACACGTACTACATGTAATACACATTTGCAGAAACCAAATTCAGAATAATATGTTCGTTTTCTACAATTATGAAATTATTCGAATATTGATTACTTTGTGTTACAATGTTGCTGAGTTTTGAATGTGTTATCTTTGATATCAAAATTTAAGCCTCAACTTTCTGCTGTTCAAAATGAAATTATGGGACACACTTTTCCTTTCGCGATTTATCCTTAAGAAAAACGTAAGGAGCAGTCATTAGCGCCAAAGTAAATTTGACAGCAGATTACGTCAGCCCCTTGTCATTTAGCCAAATAAATGAGCAATCGGTCAAATGCGCAGCGGGAGGGCACAAGTAGCGGAAGGGCACATAAATTAGAGCTCGTTAAACCTCGATGGCGCTATCGATACTTGTGAAAACTATCAAATATTATCGGAATCAATTTTTATTTAAATACTTTACTACTATTAGATAATTCATTTTTAATTACAAATATCCTAGCAACATAATTTATCTTCTATTTATATTTCACTAGATGAAAATAGAGATCACTGGTTCAAACACTAGTTCGACTTCATATTTTCTATATAAGAGAAAGTTTACACACTTCACTTTCACGATGAGCGTGAATGAGCATCAATTGTTTAAGTTGGTACACCAATAGCCTTAATGCGCGGAGACGTTTACTCATACATTGTAAGTTGGCAACATTTAATTTATTGAAGTAGCGTAGTGATATTTGCCAACGATTTCTCGAGGTAGCTATACTGAATGTGATTTATATTATTTTCCATATTTTCAAAGAAATTTGCAATTAATGACAAATAATTTATTGAAAAAATCCGTAAAACGATATTTGAATTAATTTTTATTATACAATTATTAAACTTCAACATCATTGACCAAAAAAATAATCAATTAGTCGGAACATATATGACTTTAAAATGTTTGGTTTCATGCGTTCTAACCACATGGGTGAGTTCATCCGTCGTTGTGCGCAATATACCTTCGCATCACGAAGCACGTGGCCACAGCGCGGGCACTTCGCTTGAAAAGACGCTGGCCGCCGCGCTGCACGAGAGCGAGTGGCGTTGAGAATACTTTTGAAAGCGACAAGTTTTGTACGAAGCCAAAGTTTTCAACAGTAACCAACCAAAAATAACACGATGAAAAAGTACAAGTTGTAACATTTGAAAGAAATTTTCCTAAATCTGTTGCAAAGTCCCGTAACGAGGTGATAATTTTGGTATCAGGCTGAATTTAAAATTCCTGCTAATATTGGGTTGCAACCTGGTGTCTGAAGCTCATTGACTGAAGTCGGATACGATCCGCAGAGCTCAAATTTAACTACGTTTAAATAATGATAAAACTAGCATTTAAACGTGATTTGAAACGCAACTAACGGCTCTGGCGAAAAACGGCTGTTAACAGAGATGGTCGTTAAGCAAACGTTAAGAACCTGCAGGAACCTGCAGGAAATCCGACTAAACACAGTGCAGTGATTTAAGTCGGGACATTTGAGGAACGTGGTAGCACGATAATAAATTTCAGAATAAAATACATGAGATTAACCATTAACTGAAACTTACAACCAAATTATTTAAAGAGATGTTGATTTGCAATGCAATTCTCGTTTAACTATTCAGAACTAATTATCACAGACATTGTGGATTGAATTACGCATTTCTGTTTTATTATTTTTATAATCATTAATTTCAAAAGACAAAACGTTTTGCATGTTAACCTTATTAGAAAGACGTCGTTAAAGAATATAAAGAGCTATGACTGTACATGTTAGTATGAAACATTTAAAGTTGAATTAGGTTTATCTAGAAAACGATTTACAAACATTTTACAATACTTAATTTGTATCGTTACAACTTACGACACTTACATTGCAAATAACTATTTTTGTGTACTATGACGCGTTCAGCGAATCGCAGCGAAAGAGAGGGAAACAAAACGGCCGACCACCCTTTTCCGACGCAGGCGTCAAATAAACGCGAGGTCACTCGAGATTGAGATTTAGATTTACTGAGTCAAAAAAAAAAGATAAATAGTTGATAGATGAGCAAAAGTTTAAAATAAATAAATAAAAATAAATTTTAAAAATCGCAAGATTTGCAATATTTGAAAAAATTGATATTTTTGATGTCGTAAGCTTCCTCGGCCAGAGTCATGATCTGGGCTGTCCGGGTGACGCCGCCTCGATGGCTGAGGTCCCGACGTTTCGACCCGATTGGCCGTCACCTCGATCCATCACCTGGATTGACCTATCACCTGAATTGCCTCANGACATGTCGGTCGAAACGTCGGCACATCAGCCATCGACGCGGCGTCACCCGGACAGCCCAGATCAATTGATATTTTTGTTTCCGAGTTATAGAAAACATATGTGCATCGGTAAACGAATTGCAAGAGAGTTGGTTCACAAAATTAAGTTTGATTCTCTTATACATTTTTAATGATGTTATAGAAAAAAATGCGTATGCAACGCGTTTATAATGCTGTTTTATTGCATTCGTATAAATTTGAAAACTCACTCCTAACGTCACTCTTTATCGAAACATGCCCTTATGCAATAAAGCAAAACATTATAAACTAATTGCATAAATTACTGCTATTTGTTTTATTTCCTAGAAGCATATCGCCTCTTCATCGCTTCGTAGACTGGCGTAACTTCTTTGCCCGCGTCTCACAAAGAGAGCGCCTTGGGGCGCGCCCCTGCCAACTCGTCAGCAGATTTCGCGCAGCCAGCAAAAGTCGTCCCGCAGTTACATAACGCGGCGATCAATGCCGGCGGCGGCGGCGGCGGCGGCTGTGTGCCAGGGCGAGACGATCCGGCCGCCGCGCCGCAGACCCCGCCCTGGCCGGCGCATTCCGGAGGGCGATGTATCAACCTGCTGCGAAGAGCCGCCCGCGAGGGCCCCGATCTCCGGTGGAGAGTTGCACACGCCCACCTGCACTCACGGCGCAACTCACGTCGTTAGCTTCAAGGCGGGGGCAGAGAGTAGGCGCATGCTAAACTCGTGTTGCCGGGGCTGGATTGGGCCAAGGGCGTTCGTACGGACGCTCTAGATCCCACTTACCCAAGTCCTGGTGGGTACAACGAACCTCTCCGTCGCCAGATGGCCTAGGTTTTGGCGATACTCACGTCAACAGCTTCGAGGTGTAGGCTGTGAGGAGACGGGAAGGAAATTTCAAGACGCCCGACCTTAGTTGGGGTAGCCCTCTGAAGGGCTTCGCCGTGGCAGTGGCCCGATACTCTGAGCAAAGAGGAGGGGCAGGGGCTTGTCGTGGCGCATGTGAGTAGCGCATTGTGAGTTTCCAGTACTTGCTTGGTTAGCTGGTAGCTCCGAGCTGACAGGGCGGCCCCAACCCAGGCATTGACTGGCAAGGTTGCCGGATGCCAGCCTGCCCGCGTACTTGTGCCGTGGCGGGGTCGAGCCGCTCGCTGCCTCGCTCGGTGGCCATCAGCTACCAGCTCCGTTGGCGCGTTGGCGCCTGTAGTGACGCCTGGCGCCTTCGAGCCAGCAGGTCGAAACCCGATTGAAGCCGTGAAATTTTAGGGCTAAAAGATCCTTCGACGCCTTCCTTCGAAGAGACGTAAAGCCTGCTGTCCCATGAAGTAGATTTAGTACATGTAAAAGATTGTCAAGTCTAAAAGAAGCGTCTGAGGAAATTTCAAATCGCCTAATTTGTCGCCTGAGATGATACCGTTTTTCTCCGTTACAAGAAAGGAGCGTTGCGATATTTGCGAGATGAGACGAAAAAGTGGGCAAGATGGCCTGACTCAACTACCTTTAGATGTAGTGCATGTTTTATTTCAAGATGTGATGGCTCTGGATGGCGAGATCGGTCGCCGACCTACTGGACGGTGTGCGGGGATTTTCGTCAACCAAGTGTCTTTGTCCAGCTGGCAGCCCAGTCGGGACTAGGGCTGGGCGCCCGAGTAGTCGCTCAACACATTTGGTAGTGTATGTAAGGGTTGTGATAGGACAAGGAAGAGGGCGAAAGAATCGCTGCGGCCCGCGGCGCTGCGTTTGTTGGGGTATGGCATGCCTCGGCGTTCGCCTCATATTGATTGGAGAAACCACGGGAAAATTCCGATCAGAGCAGCCGACCGTTGGTAGTTTTCTGTGGAGAGACGCGCAAGCCGACGAGGTAGCGTCGAAAATCCTGCTACCGTTGGGATTCGAACCCTAAGACCTAAGGGCGAGAGGCTCTACATACAGCGGAAAGACGGCGAGGCAGGCAGCCTGTGCGGCGCGGTCGCCGGCGGCGGCTCCGCGGTAATCCATAC